GAAGCAAATAAGATAATGGCCTTACTGTACTTGAGTGCAAAAAAAAAAAAAATGTTAATTAGACTTCGTAATAAATTAACCAGTAGTAAGTAAAAATAATAATTACATACAAGAAATAGAAGAAGCCATTTATACAACGTGTCTATAATATACATAAATATGTATGTATATGCACACATGCTTGCACTTCGAAACAATTGTTATAAATTATGTATTGTGGCACAAAACACATTTTTAATTGCTCAGAAATTACTTAACATTTGACAAAAAATTATTTATGAACTATCTAATACACCTTCTAGTCATACGGTCTATCTAAGCGGCAAATCCAAACTCTACAACGCATACATTACCGACATTCCTTTAGTTAAGTAGTAAAACAATGTATCTAGTGCCATTTTGCCAAAGGTTTGTGTACGGATAGTGAATTGATTGAGTCTAAGTTTGTTTGGTAAAATTATTGGGGGTAGGCTACATTAGGAGAGGTTAAGAGGGCTCAATAAGAATGACACTTTTGGGGCCGGTTGTTCAAGGTCTGGTTAGTACAAATCGGAGGTAGAAGCTCCGGTTAAATACTACGACTACTCGAAAACGTCGATAATGATGTTTAACTGGGAGGTAGTGATTACCAGACATTGAACAACCGGCCCTTAGTTAGAACCAGTGTTGCCAGAACTTTTCCAGGCAAAAAGCGATTTAAATAAAAATTTGAGCTACAACTAAAAAATCGAAGTTAACAGATCAAATATTTTGGGTCGTTATTATAACTTCTTAACAGTTAATACTAAGATAAAATGATACATTTTTGTAAGGAACAACTCATTTTGTACGTCAGTATATTTTTTTTGTAGCCTTACAGAAATCTGGGCAGCTTAACAGGGCAATTCTGGCAACTCACCACAGTCTTTCGAAAGACAATAAAATATATATGTGTACATATATATTTGTTTTTAAAACAATAAAAACTAATAAATAAAATTAAATTAAATTAGAAACAGAAAAAAGTTTAATCACAAAAGCATGATACACTTAGTTTCTAGATTAGATTAAAAATATTCTTATTAAATAATTGAAAAACAAACAATTAAAAAGAATTGAGTAGGATCCTAAAAATTAAATAAAATAAGAGAAATATATATATTTTTGAATAAGGAAAATGAATTAGCAACAAGAGTTTACGGGATGTACATAGCTCAGTGGTTANAAAAAGAAGTCTGATGAGGAGATGTGGTGATCTCCGAAATAGTGCTATAACTTCTACCGCTTAGACTTTGTTGCTTTTTCAATTTTTCCTAATAAACAATCGTGGTACAAAGCTCAATAAAAATATTAAATATATATTTTTCCTTTTAAAATAATAAAACCTAAAAATTAAAAGAAAATAAAATTAGCAAAAGGATAACAACTAAATTAAAATTAAAGAAAAAACAAATAAAGTAAATTTCCTATAAGTAAATGACTTAAAAGAACACTTTTTACACAATAAAATTTAAGAGATTTAAAGAAATTTAACTAAAAAAAATATGTTAACAGAAAATAATCTTAAAAATTTAATAAAATTAAAAAAATAATATTTTTAAAACAATAACAACCAAACCATTAAGGGCAATTTATTAAAAAAGACATTAAGTTAAGAAAGCAATTGTCTTACGAAAAAACTTTTCACTATTTTAGCCATAATTGCCCTGTAAGAGAAAGTTTGAGATGATCCCACCTCACTGTTCTATAAGCAGCGGCGATAGTGACGTTTCGGTGTAATATTTAGTCCCATCTCGTGAACGCCTATAGTTTAATATGCTCCCAACATTATGTGCTTCACTATGTTTTCAAGAAGGCAGGGTAATACTTTCTGATAGGAACCCCATCTCCTACCAATTGTCTCCACGCGAGAGTATGGGCCCACTGATGTCATTTTTTTTTAGTGATATGCTTCCATGACTCTGCCGGAAAGCGCCGGAAAGCGCCGGAAAGCGCCGGGTGAATGCCCCAATTGAGCGCGGCGTATTCATGTACAACTTCTAGTGAACAGAACAGGATGAGTTCCACTTTATTAAGGTTTAGTACGAGTTCCTTGTTCAGAGCCTACTTAATCTCAAGGTTAAATTGACTCCGCACATACAATTACCCGGCCGCTTATTTTCTCCAGCTCCTACAGCAGGTGGTTTAGGACCGCAATCCAAAAAAAGGGGTGCTACTCTATTCGTGGTATGTAGCTAGTTGCCGGCCATCCATTTTATTGCAAAAAATTGCTACGAGGGTACTTAGTAATATCGTAAACTTGGACGACATCACTGGTCAAGGGTTTATTTATTTTAAGAGAATTATTTAATTAATTTTATTAATTTTATTAAAGAAAAATATGTGGGATGTTCGCAAGTAAAAAATAATTACTTCAAAATTCATTTTGAAAACTATACATATTTTTTTTTTTATCTTTAAGTTAACTTTTTTTTGTTGTGTTCACACTATCCCACCTCGCTTGTCTTAAAAAAATATAAAAGTGAATTTAATTTCCTATTATAGGCAGCCTCATAACGAAAGCCTGGCGCTCCTACATGGATGAATTGGATCATCAAGCAAAACAATTCAAAAGCAATGCAGAACTACTCGAAGTCGTCTGCGAAAAGCTGACACATTTATCACAGGATAAACGTAAAGCACGCAAAGCTTATCAGGAGGAGCATGCCAAGATCGCAGCGCGCCTCAATCATGTAAGTTGAAAGGAGTAATTTTTATTAGCATTTATTTATGAAAATTTTTATTGGAAAACAATAAATGTATGCACATTAGGGTGGTCCAAAAAAAAAGTTAAGTCTGAATTTTAAAGTGTCACCTTCTATACGGGAAAAAATACCACTGTTTTTTCTATTTTGAAGTAAAAAAAATATTTAGAGGTTTTCATTATTGTTGGGCAGCATCGATATCAAAAGTACTCAGAACTCGATTCTCAATAGGATCGACGATTTTTGAAAGTATCGATACGGAGTACTCCATAGTAGCGATACCAAAGAACAAAGAACTCGACACTTCCCATCACTAGTCTTCATGTATTTTATATGGGGAAACACAAGTTTTTGTAGAAATGGTATGGAATTATTCAAACTCATTATTTCTCGATAGGAAAACCTTGTTGCTCTTTAGGAGATTTCCAATAAAAATACCCAATTGTTTACTTAACCATTTACTGTTATTAACTATTTTTTATAGAACCCCTAAAAATCTCAAAAACTGCAATGTTAATATTAAAAAATCTTTAAGTCCTTTGAGTAAACTCTAAATATTATTTGATTTAAAAAAAAAACAGAGGTATAGTATTTTTCGGTATAGAACAATAATGGGGGTGAGAGAAATTTCAATTCTTTACTTCCGACTTTACTTTTTCACATGGATATGTGGACCACCCTACATATATACAGTGGTTATAAAAAGTAGCCCTCTTAGGCGCGAAAATCTTTATAATGCATAGGGTTCAAGAAGTTTAGGGTTCTTGAAAAGCAGAGCCCAAATCACGTCATCCGTTATCGAATGATTGCTCGTTTTGAATCGAATTAAATCAAATGACCTCTGCGTTCTCTCCCATATAAATTATATTGAAAAGGCGGACTCCTTAACGAGTGCCGTAACCTCAAAATCAAAATTTCGAATCGAGTTTCCTTCGATCACATACTTACATATGAGGTGATTCGGGCACAGACTTGCGAAAAGAATGATATTTTCCAGAGGTAGAATTTTTTAAATATTTTTTTTCTATATTTCACCCATTTACACTTACATATATATGTATGTTTGTATATAATGTATTTAGATAAGTGTTGCAAATATTCTCTTAGTTAACATTTCTACATACCTATGTATATATGTACTTATATATACATACGTTTAACATACACATAAAAATTGTAATTTCACTTACCAACATTCAATTTACGACTTAAACCTTTTTTTACAAATTTACGTAGAAAAATTTTATTGAGTCATAAACTTTGGAGTTTCTAGAAAAGCGCATAACGCTGTGCATACATAACGCACCAGTGCATACGAGTATACATATTTACACTTACAGTGGTGGTCAAAAATGGATGAATAGTGTTTCGTTTTTAATATTTACAATGGGTTTCAAGCTAAAAGTTGTTTAATTTTTTTTTATAAAAATATGTTTCATGCTTTAACAAAAACTGTATAAATAGCACTTTCAAACTTTATACAGAACTTAGAAAAATTCCACACATTTTTATCTAAATTTCGAGCTTTTTAACCAGAATTTTTAGACTTTTTAAAAGGCTTATAAAATTCTAGTAAAGCAAGTGCATTGCATTCCTTTTTAATATTTTTTTTTTGTTGAAGGCGTTTTCCACTTTTTCCATATGAATTTTTTGTGGAAGAAAAAGCGCGAGACCATTTGCGAGAAAAAAAAATCAACGCCAGTTTTCCTAAATTTCGCTATTTATATGAAAAAACCGCAAAATCCGCCAGCAAAAAAAAATATATATATTAAAAACCTATGCGATTTTTAGGCGCTAAAAATTGAACTTACTTTACAAAAATTTTATAAGTCTATTATCTGCATACACAAACAATTTTTTTTTTATTTTAGTTAGAAAAACATTGCAAATAGTAAAAACGGAACACCAGTCATCCATTTTTGACCGCCACTGTACATATGTACAAATGCCTGCATAAAAGGCTCACACCTGGATGGACATTTGTAATGCGATATGTTTACAACCAATCAAACGACAAAAGAGCGCATAATCGCCAAGCTTTTTATTGTAAATTATTTTTTTTTATTTTTTAAGCACTGTCATGCACAGAAAATTTTCCTAAAACTCTTAAGCAGCTCATCGCCATAGTGCCAGGCAGTCAGCCAATTCACAAATTGCAACACGAGCTTGTCAATTTGCTAGGCAGTCAACCAACATTGATGGCTGAGTATTTTTTTTAAGTTTAGCTATTTCTGTTGTATCGGTGGATACATTAGCCGCATGTTATTGATAATTTGTAATGCTACTCATGCAGTGGCTGGTAAAAAAAAAGAAAAAAATTAAGAATCAACAATAAATAATAATTGAAAAGTAACTTTAATACATTTTGATTTCTTATTTGACGCCGTCAAGAAGGAGTATAATAAAAGAAATTCGAGTATAACAAAAATCTTAAAGAGTCATAACCACTTAAGCGGCTTAAAAGTGTGCGTCAACGTGAACGAAAATTTATGGCGTTGACAGTGCGACGGTGAAGTGTTGTTTCATACATACAAACATATTTACATATATATTCATGCAAGTGCATATGTCCGTAGCTATTATTTTCGATATCATGAGAATAAACGATTTATGTATGTATGTAGGTACCCATTTATATACATACATTTGTGCTCAGCTGATTAAGTTAAGTGACATTTTGACCAATTTGACTATTTTTCTTAAATTTGTTTAATGTCTTATCAAAGTCTAGCACATTATATGAAAAGCATCATAGAAATCCATATTTCTAAATTTGTACAAAAATTATAAAAATTATTCAGAATTTTTAGAAAAATTTTTTTTTGCAGTTTTATAGCCCATTAAATTTTAGTGCAAGTTTCAAGACGCTAGAAAATTGCGTTGCTTTTTAATAATTTTTTTAGCTGACGGTGTTGTGCATTTCTTTTCACAAAAAGTATGCACGACAATTTCTTATATGCGGAAGAAAATGCAGTACCTTCAGTAAAAAAAGATTAAGGACCTTCACCAAATTGAGTAAGTACCCTGGCACTGCGGCTAAAGAGGCGATTAGCTCAAAGCAACGAATGTTGTCAAAGTTCTTGCTTGAGCTGTTCAACTCTTTTCCCGGGTGCCAGGTCACTTGCACAATTTTGTGAATACCCCAATTATTGCGTTTTTGGGGAAAATTGGTAACGTTTTTTGAATTTTTTTTGTACAAAATTTGTAATGTAAATGGAATGGTATAGAGTGCTCGTTATATAATGTGCTAGACTTTTATTAAAAAAAAAAAAAACATTTAATAAACAAAAAGAAAGTATTCAAAACTGGTAAAAAAGCCACTTAACCGAAGTAGCTGACCACAAGGGTATGTATGTATGTATGCAAGACATTCTTTGTAAATATGTAACCATGTACATGGTACGTATGTCGCTTTTATGGGCAATTCACCATTTATTGCTGATATGATCACAAAATGGTAAGGTATTTAACCTACGAAGTGCTTCTTTTCAAGCCAATAAAAGGTAGTACAAACTCGTATAATTGTATACTTTGTTGCTGACTTTACATACTTTGAGAATGGAATCTGCTGAGTATTAAAAACTTTTTCAAATTATGGTGCCGTTGAACTTATTTTTTTTTGTGATATGCAAAATTAGTTATTCAAAGGTAGCCGATAATGATAGTAGTAGCGCGTAGTGCCTGTTTTTTTTTTTTAAGAAAAAAATATATACAATGTTTGTGGTTATGCCGAATTAGATATTGTTTAGAAAAAATAAAGATAAGCTACATCTAAATGAAGCTAACAATAAAATTGGGGACATTTAATGACATTCTTAACTAACTTGCTATGCGATAGCAAAGCTCATTCAAGGCCTATGCATTTTAGAAATGATTTGCGGTGTAAAAATTTTAAGCGCATTAAAAATTACATTATTAAGTCGCACAGCGATAAATATGTAAAACGTTGTGACCAATGGCCTGAATCGAAGTAAAAATCGGAGTCTTTGCTAGCATTCGGTTTGGTAAAAGCAAATAGCCCACAATAAACTAAATATTCGACTTAGCTAATTTTTATAACTTATTCACCCTCTCGAAATAGTTCTGTTTTATTATTTTCAATATCTTCTCCTCATATTTTCAACTTCACAAGCCTTCAGAATTTTTCATTGGAATTGGCGTCTGGAGACTGAGTTAACAAATCCGAATACCTATGAATATTAAAAAAGCGATAGCAATATTCATGATTGTTAGCCTTTTATGTCGAGTAAGCATTGTCAAAAAATAAAGGTGGCTGTGGGCTATTTACATTTATAGTGCACACAAATTCCTAGTTCCAGATGATGTTTATCACCTGCGTGCAGCAGAGCGATATTGAGAGTGAGTTTTTTTTCTTGCTCACGTACCATCATCCGGGTAAGGGTTAGAGTCACATACCTGCAGTTGGAAGATACTTAGATAATTTCCCAAAGGCGTCTAGACCAATAAACCTCAGCTCTTTTCTAATCAAAACCTGACAAAAAATTTTCTTGGGTTTCACATCAGGGAGACCCACATTTCTTGATAAATCCGTTTTTTTTTTCAGGGCACTTCATTCTATAATACGTGAGTCGGTTAATTACCAAAGGGAATAAGTAAGAATTTTTTTCGATACGACAATTTTGATGCAATTCGGTTCGTTTAAATGAGCTCTGTTAAACTGCATAAAATTTTACATATCGGTAAAATGCTAAGGTTTTATATTAATTGTCTCAAATATGGTGTTAGAAGTTTAAGGTATTGGACAAAAATTATGTCGACGCCATCTTTCTATACTAAAAGATTCAAATGAGTAGATCAAATATTGCAAGATTGGTGTCAAACAAAGAGTGCTTGAAAAGGTTTTAAAGGTCATTCCATGTAAAAGAGGAAAACGACATGAACTTTAAAATGCTTTTATTATCTCTATTTCAGTAGTAGCTCCCTTGACTACATTTCATTCATCTATTGAAAAATATTAAAAAAAAAATAAAGTGATG